GATGTTTTTTCAGTGGAGCTAGCAGTGAGTCGCTGGATGACATGCAGATCCATGTATTTGTAGACGCCAGTGATACAGCATATTCATGCGTCGTCTATCTTCGCATAGGAGATGTGGGTACTCCACGGTGTACATTGGTTGCTGCTAAAACGAAAGTTGCACCATTGAAACCACTTTCGACACCCCGATTAGAGCTGCAAGCAGCGATGATAGGCAGTCGGTTAGTCCACAACATATGTACATCTATAAGCCTCCCTATCAAGCAGTGTTTCCTGTGTGTGGATTCCGCAACAGTTTTAGGCTGGTTAAAACCCGATGGTCGTCGCTACCATCCCTTCGTTGCATTCAGAATAGGAGTGATTCTCAGCTTGACAAATGTCGACGAGTGGCGGAAAATTCGATCGAGCCAGAACGTTGCTGACCTGACGACCAAGTGGGGCACTGCTCCAGAGTTCAGTAAAGACAGTCGATGGTATAGGGAACCTTAATTTCTGTGGAAACCCGAAGAAGCCTGGCCGACAGAGGAGAAAATATCGGCAACAACGGAGGATTTATGTGCTTTCTACGTCCATCATCATGCGGTAGTGGAGCTTTGATCGATATCAACAGATTTTCGAAGTGGAAATATTGACTGCGAACGGCAGCATACGTACCTAGCCTTAATAATTTGTTATGGTTTTTTTTTGCTTAACGACGTGTTTGGGGTATCATCCAAACCATTTGTGGAAAAGTTCGACTATTTGGGTTATTGTTCGTTTATGGTATTTGTTTATTAGGGAGAGCGGTTAGCTGTTTCCATCACCAAAAGCTCATTGGCATACTTTCTAGTGAGGAATGGTTTGGAGTAGAGAATTTTCTTTGGCGGCAAGTGCAGTGTTATCCAGACGAGTACGCTGCGCTCCATTAGGTACAACAAAACCTATCGAGGCAAAGAACCGATGATTTTGAGCAAAGTAAGTCCTCTCTACAAGCAGAGGCCGTTCTTCGATATCTACGGTGTGATTCGGGGGAGCAGTAGGATAGGAGCTGCATCTAACGCCCCCACCGAAGCTGAGTATCCCATTATTTTACCAAAAGGTCAGTGTCTAACGTTCTTCCTCGTTATCACCGGCAGTTCCTGTACGGCAGCAACGAGACCGCATTCAACGAGTTACGTTAGCAGTTGAGGATTCCACATCTGCGGTCTATGATCCGGTATGTTGCCAAGGAGTGTCAACGATGCTGTATTATAAAAGCTGTTACACGTCCACCAATTTGTTTATTTGTTTATTTGTTTATTTAATAATTCAACTGACAATTAATGTCTTAATGAATAAAACTTAATCTAAATAGTTATGGTCAACGAAACGAAAACGGTCAAGTAACCGGCGACGAAACACATTTGCTGATACGTTAAAGTCAAATTCGCAATAAAAGTAGTTAAATTGTCGGCTGATTGCACGAATTGGCTCATTCTGCGTATAATTTCTGCCTCGTGGCTCCAAAAACAGAAATTCGCGTTGACAAAGAGGTCTCTCAGGAGCATACATATTTAGCTGGGCCAGCAACGTTGGACAGTCGATGTCACCCGTGAGAAGCTTTCCAGCAAACATAGCTTGAGCGACCGTCCGTCGCACCACTAGCGGTTCGATGCCCAGAAGACGGCAACAGTACATCAGAAAGTGCCTACAGTGTTACAAAGCAGTCCTGCGTGATGACCATTCGCCGATTTATCGCCCGTCGTGGGTCCCCTGAAACGTTTTATTCGGACAATGGGACTAACTTTGTCGGGGCCAGCCGTCTGCTAGCAGTCAGATCAGAAGCATCAACGAGGGCTGTGCGGTGACATTCACGAACGCAAGGACGAGTTGGCGATTCAATCGTCCTTTGGCACCGCACATGGGTGGTCCATGGGAACGAATGGTGAGATGTCCAGGTAACTTTGGCAGTGATTTCGGATCAACCGCAGCACTTCAGCGATGAGGTGATCGAAACGGTGATCCTAGAAGCAGAGACAGTCGTGGAATCCATGCTCCTCAAATACGGTTCACTGGGTTCAGCAGAAGGGGAATCACTTACACCCAACCACTTCCTCTTGTATGGCACGAAAGGTACACTCGGATGGAGTTGGAGCTCTAATAAATAGCTGGAAGCTGGCACACCATCTGGCGGATAGCTTCTGGCAGCGACCATATTTGACTAAAAGGACAAAGTGGCATGAACTAGTCAAGCCTTTGCAACCAAGAGATGTCGTCTTAGTGGTTGATGAGACTAAGCGGAATGGATGGGTCAAAGGTAGAGTCATCGAAGTATTGGAGGAAAAGGATGGTCAAGTTCGTAGTGCTACAGTTCGTACGGTTCCCGGGATCATCAAGCGCCCTGGAGTGAAGCTAGTCCCTTTCGGACATAGTTTTTGATGGCACTTCCGGTTTGGATCATAATAGAACGTGTTTATGCTCTGTAGATGGATAATTAAGTTTCTTAATAATTTGCTGTACACACTTAATCACGGTTTCTCTGTTCGGTAATTTTATTTACAGTTGAACTGTAAATCATAAAAACTACAAACTACTGACGTTCAATAGCTTTTGCGATAAACTACTGAATACGGTAATAGCAATTACTGGATTTACGGTAACTTAACAGCTTTACGGTGAATGACTAAAACTTTACTGGAACAGTCATCAAACTTAATTTCAAAATTACTGATCACACCAGTAAATTAAATTATTTTGTTTACGTCACCCTCCTCCGTTCCACCTCGTGCACTTGATTTCCGAAATGTATGTGTGAAAACAGCAATCGTTTGTGAAAATCAACACAGGAGTGCAGAAACAGTCACGGAATTGAGTAGTTTCTGCACTCCGGTACCGACTTTCAGGAGATTCATTAAGTTTTGAAGCATAAATAATCAAGTGCCTGTAGTAGAGCTCCACATTTAGGCACGCCAAGAAAGTAACCAGCCGGCTAAACCACGAGCAAGTGTTGACCACTCAAGCTGGACTAGCTCTGGATTAGCTCAAGTCTGGACAAATTAAAGCGTTATTGCTACTCCGCCTCTAAACATGCTAACCTAAGTCACCAAATAAACATCGCTAATATTTTATTTATTCATCAAAATACTGCAATAAAAATATTGAAAAAGTCAGCATCCAAATAAGTAAACTAATATTTTACTGACAAATACAGCAACTATTTACTGATTAAAGCGAAAAAATTTGACAGTTCACGGATTTTGCGATTTACTGAGTTTTCAGTTAAAGCAACAACTACTGAATTGATTACTGAAAACTCAGCTGTTTAAAAAACCCTGTAAAATTTTAACGACCTCGGTATTCTAAACTCTGTGTGTGTAATTTAGTTAAAGTGATACGTAGGTAAGAAAATTCATTATTGAAATGTACACCGAGTGAAACAGGTTTCCTTTATTTTTCAGTAGCTAAAAACATTTATGTATTACAGTTCAAATCCGCCGACTCAGTCCGAGTTAGTCGCGATACCGTTAAGGGACCTGAATGATATTCGCAATTGGATTGAATGTTTGATTTGATTTTCAAAGTGATCATAACATTATTTGTTAATGTATAGTGCAGACCCACTACAAAGACTACAACGTATCTGATTGTTGCGGGAATTGTAAATTAGGCATCGCACTGAAATGTAAGAAATATCACATTAAATCATTTCGTTCCCTTGTAACAATTCTCAATAATTTTTAGCTTGATTGTTAATGTTGCTAATAAGAAGTGTCGATATTGTCAGGAAAACTTCCCGAACAGACAGCTTTAAGCTTTTTCATGAATATTTCGTGTAATTTTACAAGGGCGTTGGCAAGTGTCTATGGTCTTACAAATACAAAAAGTTTGTCTACGCATGAAACCTCTCAATTATTGTTTACATAGTTTATAAACAGCGCCTTTTGTTATCGATCAGGAACCTACCGGTTTCTCAAAATATGAACCCAGAAAAAAATAGGTTATTTAGGTATGTAACCACGCTTCACTTTAAAAATATTGGTTTCATCATTTGCCCTTTTCACCAATAAAGGACTAAAGTTTTTCGTTTATTTGTGCTATTGAGAACTACTTACATTATCCTCCTGTGGAGTTCTAATATGTTTAGGGTCCGACTTGTTGCCAGTTACCAGCTTACAAGCTATAGTGGCTCGAAACATGCTGATCAGAAGTTATTTTTAGTTGAACACATTTAAGTTGGGACACGATCCAGGCGATCATTCTCACATTTACCAGTAATGACAAAATGCTGAATAATTATTAAAGGTGACGGTGGGGTAGCCTTGCTTAATGTTGCTAAGTTGAATCTGTCTGGAAGAATCTAGGTACCTTTACACTTCTCATCCTTCATATCAGTAAGATTTGGAATAAAAAAAATGTTGTAGCACAAAAGCATGCTTTAGAAACCATATTCAAGGAAATCCTCCTAATCGAAGTTGCCTTCATTCAGGTTGACCCATTACTGTTAATAATGCACATGCCCAGTCAAAGTCCTACACATACTGCCGATTTTCTATAATCACCGTCTTATTGTATATTGCACCTAATAAAACCTAACTAATCGATTTGCACGTACATGAACGAACCCCTTCAACGTGGAACAAATCAAGAGGGTGGCTACAGCACAACAGCTTAGCTCAAGTGAGTAAATTTTAATGCGATTAGTGGCAATCGAAAGCATATTATATCTGTTGTCGTGATGGAAGTCGACAGCCAGTGAACCTATGCGAATCACAGGGACAGGAGATGGCTCATCTGTATGGATGTATGTGAGTGAATGCCACGAAGGATTTCAAATTCCAATAACAGCATCCTGCTATCAACTGTAGCGTGCAATATTATTAATTTTGTGCCAGCGTGCACAAATGGCCTTTTATGTGACAGCAATCAGACAAAAGGCCATAATAATTAATATCCCTAATCCGTTTTCCACCGAGCTAGCGCACGCACTCCTCAAATTCAATGTTACGGGGTTTGAACAATTTTCTCTATTCTATCTATTTGCAGGTATGGTTCCAAAATCGAAGGGCAAAGTGGCGTAAGACTGAAAAATGCTGGGGCCGAAGTACCATTATGGCCGAATATGGGCTCTACGGTGCTATGGTAAGGCACTCGCTGCCACTGCCGGAAACCATCCTCAAATCGGCCAAGGAGAACGAGTCCGTTGCACCGTGGCTTCTAGGTATGGAGATGAAAAGTAAATATCTTTCTATTTCTACGCTCATCCCGCTGCCAGATTAGTCAAGTTTCTTTGGGAATGAGAAATTTGTGCTCGTCAAAGATGTTTCATAGCTTTCTACTCATCCTGAATTTATTTTATTAATCTTGCACTTAGTTTGTAGTTATTAGTTAGATCATCTACATTCTCGATGTTCTCGAAATGATACCTTATTCCCTTTTAGGCATGCACAAAAAATCCATGGAAGCGGCGGAAACTCTAAAAAACTCAGACGATAACAGTGATCGGGAAGAAACTCGAACAGAAGCCAGTGATATTAGTGCCGGTTCAAGTTTGAACAATCATGGTAGCTCTCCAATGAAATCACCTGGAATAAACCCACCAGGTAGTACGAACAGCGGAAGTACGAGTAGTTCCAGTCATCTCTGTTCTAGCTCAAGTAGTGGCCAATCCCATAGTACTCACCAAAATCCAACAACGAGTGCTGTAGCGCACCTGTCACCTTCTTCGGCTCATTCTCCAATCAATAGTTCTTCAACGGCTTCGATAACACCACCCCCATCAGCATTAACACGACATCGAACATCTCCTCTAGTTTCGTTAGCCGGAGGTCAAACGCAATCTGGCCCATTAGGTCATCCGCATCATCACCATCACCATCCACACCCAGCACATCATCACAGTCCGGTGGACAGTAAGGAGTTCAAACTGACCACCACAAGTCCAACAGGAAATAGTTACCACCCCGAAAACGACCCCGAAGCGTTTAGGTGGGTTGACTACCGAGATCCTGTTTCCTACATACGGTGATTTGAATTTATTATACTATATTTCATAAGCTGCTGCAGCACAAAGATCAGTCATATTCATCATTATTGAAGTAATCTATCAATGAAGAATGAGTTAATCAAACAGTCAACGTTACCACTAACTCATTCAACACATAGTTTATTGATTCATGTAATTTTCATGTAATGCAGTTTTTTTTTCGGTTTGGGACAACTTCTATGACATTCATAAAATTTAAAAAATTCGCAATTGTATTTCAAAGTCAAACAAATAATGATGCCTATATTGACTGAAAAGAGGCCTTATTAATTCAAATTATTAGCAAAATTGCGTTGGTGGTTTAGTTGTAAGCGTAACTGCTTTCTCATCCTAGTGTGTCTGGATTCAATCCCAGTGGAGGACGTTGGGATTTTTCTGAGGAGAAAAAAATCTTTGGTCACCCCTATTGAAGAAACGACTTCTTGACGATTTTATTCAACTGCATGTTTAATAATACAAGTGCAATTTTTTATAATAACTTCTGTTCAGGCTTTGTTCACACAAATCTGGAGAATTTATTCAACCACAACATGGTGTTGGTTAAAGTATGTCGAGAAGCTTTTATTTGACTTCCATGAGTTGTAACAGAACTTATTCGATCAAATGTTTTATTATTCATCGTTTATTGGACATCTTTGCTTCCTTAACAGTGATGATTTATACGCTTGATTATCATGTGAAGTAAAGTTTAAATTAGACACTATTATACATTTATTAAACGATTGTTCAACTGCAGGAAAATTAACCCAAAAATAAAGAACGGTAGAAGAAAGACAGAGTTGTCTTTTCTTTAGTGATTGTTTTCACTATTTCTGACGAAACACGCACCACACAGATACTAGAAAATTTATTACATACATATAATATGGGCTTCGAACAATGTACCTTCCGATCACCAGCATGTTGCCTTGCCATCTGAGCTATCCTAGAATACATCATATTAATTTATTCATCGTTGAATTTATGAGACCAATTCTACCTCTTTACCTCTCCAATTTTCAAGGAAAGGATGCTGGGTTATTTATTAAACTAAATCAATGAATTTGTTGTCGTGAGTGTTGTGATCGATGAATTACGATTTAAAACACAGATAAAATTTCTGATTTCGTTAATGTTGTTGGACTGAACCAGTGTTGTATACCTTCATACAGCAATATTGGTATTCAGGTATTCAGTTTGTTATTAGATCAAACATCTGGTTCTAAATCAGGGAGATAATCAACGTTTATAAAACTTCCAATAAGTAAATTAATCATATCAGAGCAAACGACGGAATAAAGGCGCATCTATCGATCTCAATGAGCTTTTTTCAGCACATAATTCGACATCCTGTTTTATTCAGCATTGTACACTGTTATACAGCATTTATTCATATGCTTATTTGTGACTTTGAATTGTTTGTTTGGACGTCTTCCTTCGGAAGAGAAGTTAAGCAATTGGACCCGGCCCATTTGTTGGTGAGTTCCATGGGTTCCAGGTGTGAAAGTCACCTCCCTGACATTCTATTGTCAACAGTAATCACCAATCGTCGCACGTCGGTGAATGGCATTCGATCAATGACATTTTTATAAGGTCTGGGCCAACAGGCAGCTTGCTGGTGTTAGAAGCAAAAATGTTGTAAACATTGCTGAACATCGGCGAACAGATAGAAATACGTCACTGCCAACATACTGAGAACAGATAGAAATACGTCACTGCCAACAGCTGTTTCGTGTAAAAAGATAAACATTGCAATATAATACGAACACCACTAACCATTTGCACATTTCACTAACACCAATAAGCCCTTTGGCCCAGACCTTATATAAACGTCATTGGCATTCGATAACTGATCACAAACCGATGTTAAATAATGAAAAAAAGGATGCAAAAATCGAGGGGTTTCTACCAGTGTTAACTACCGGTCAGTGCCAGTCAGATGTCCAAAAATTTATCTGATTACTTTTCAATTAATTAAAATTGCTTTATTACTTTGAAATTACTTTTATTACTCTCGATTACCGAAATTACTACGATTACTTGAATATTTTAGGACTTACTTTGGAATTATTGAATTAATTTTAATGATTAACAATGTTTCCATAGATGGAATTGTTAGTGAAATATGACAAAATCCAAACTCGATTAATAAAAATGAAATGCCCAGCAAAAAACAAAACTGGTATCATGTTAAACTCATATTTCAACCTGAGTTAAAAAAAAGAAAAGTTGAAAGTTTTACAGTAAATACTGAATTTCAATATAGCAAGACTCGTCTGTTGCTTTTATTTCGGGATTTGAACATTTACGCGCGTTGATGCGAATGTCAACAAAATTGGCAATCAAATCCTAAAAGGAAGAGGAGGCTATATACATATAAATACTATAGATTCCATAGATAAACGGAGGCAAAGTATAATGTAGCCAAACGAACTGTCAGTTCGTGTAGTCAAACGAGCATGACGTCATCATGGTGCTGATCGAGGGAGAAGTATTGTAATATTATAAGCACAAGACGCTTTCCACACTCCACATTCCGATTTATTTCACGGACAACGGACGAAGGAAAGATAAAGCAAACCATTCCTCGATTCATTGTTGCAAAGATTTGCTTTGCACTTCATTTTGAACTTTTGCGCACGAAACAAAATAAAACTGCGCAACGAAGAGCTCTATGATGGCATGAACTTTTTTTACGGATGCAATTCAGATCATTTATTTTTCATGGGTGCCAAAACAACTTTTTGTGCCTCCGCTTGTCTATGGAATTTGGAATT